CTCTCTCTCTCTCTCTCTCTCTCTCTCTCTCTCTCTCTCTCTCTCTCTCTCTCTCTCTCATCAGCAGTCTCTTATCTCTCAATTCCATCAGTCAGTGCAATCATCACGTGCTAGGTCGACGTGCGCACACCCAACGCTCGCCCATGTGATCTTCATACTCCAAAACGTGCTCACCACAAAACGAGGAAAACACAATCACAACCCACCCCCGGACAACGCAGATGACCTGTGTCGAAACTGCTAGTGCATACGGTCCAATACCCTGCTTCAACAAATTCCAACACAGTTTCAACACGGTTCAGCACATTTCAACAAAGTTTCAACAACATTACAACAACTTTCAACAACATTTTAACAAGCCACCAACAATGGATCAACAGGTGGACCAACTGTTTTTCAACAGTTGGTCCAACAGTTGAACACACAAGTTTCAGTGTCCCCAATAAAATGTGGTGTAAACATAGGTCCAACGTGGCAAAAAATTTGGCACATTTTTTCTGTTGCTATCTTCGAATTCAGCGAGGGGGACCAAATTCTAATCAACGAAGCCTCAACGGCCTCAAGTTCTTTACGGTCCACACTGGTGAAAACTGGAATCGCTACGTACTTGTGTGCGCCAATTTTTCCCATCCAGTTATACACTTTTCTCTTCCTCTTCTTCCCTCCACTCTTACCACAACAGTAGTGTTCCCTCCATCGTGACCACAAGTCGCGTTCTGTGTAACCGATATAAACTTGTTTATACCAAGGTGAGATCAGCACATACACGTAGCTAGCTGGTCCGACTAGATCTAAGGTCCCTTTCTCCATCTCATCCTTCCAATATTCAACAAACTTTTCCCCCCACTTCACAGCACCAGTCAATATAAATCCAATAACAGCAACTCTCAATCCACTCTCGTCATTCTTTCCATTACCACCCTTTCGTAGTCTTCATTCACTAAACTTCTTCGCCTCCCTCCAGAAAACATTCCGTTCCCGTTGTCTTCGTTTTGATGATTCCTCCGTGTAAGACTCAGCACTTGAGTCTTCAGGAGGAGTAGCCACCTCCTCCTTAGGTTCGACAACGTCCACCTTGCTCTTGGCCCGTGTCTTCGGGGTACTTGGCAGTGGCAAGAACGCAGGGTCGTATGCGATAGTTGACCTCCTGATCACCAGTCGCTTGATAGCCGCATCTCGCTTTCCGTATGGGATCCGTTCACGACAACAGACTCCTTGATCTCTTCGACAGTCAGGGCGTCGTAAAAGTCCCGGCAATCAGCTTCGTATTTCTCCTTCCCGCCGATACCACATGAGGCAGAGATGTGCTTCAGAGTCGGGTCAATTTTCCTTGGCACGTTCGATGGCCCACCTTCAAGCTTTGGAGTAGTTCTAATCTCCTCGATTCTTCGTTTGGCCTCATCTGTCAGTCTCACGTTCGTTCTCTTTTCCGGGGTCACTAGAGGTGGGTTGTTCCCAACCGCCATATCAGACCCTCATTTCCTCTTCTCCCTTAGCTCCAGCTTCGCGGCCCGAAGTCTCAGCATCCTAAGTTTTTCGTCCTCCGTCTCGAGTTCATCCTCTTCTTGTTTAGCAATCACCCGTCGAAGTCGTTCTCTTTCTTCTTCCAAAGTTTTGCCATACTCATTCACTTTCACCGTTCCTCTTCCACGTTGCGTCGATCCTCCCTGTCCTCCGCCCGAATCCTTCGATATCTTTCCTTTAATAATCCTCAGTAGTCGCGCGTGCCGTTCGACTTCCCTCTATTGTCTCACTTCCTCTCGTTGCATTCTCCGCCGTTCTTTAGCGGCCTTTACTTCTTCCAACCTGTTCCGCTCGTCCATCTCCTCCTTCTCCCTTCTGGTCTTCCTTTCACGCGCCATCTCTGCGAAATACTCCCTCATCAGGGCATTAGTATCATCGGATTCTATTCGGGCCAGGTTGCTATCGGCCGACCTACCGTGTCGTACGATCTCCTCCGTCGACGTCCTCGCGGTGGCCATCCTCCTCGGCCTTCCACCTGGAGCGTTGTACGCAGTCGGCACGAATGGTTCACCTCGTGCCTTCGCCATCCAATATTCTGCACAATCCCGAATGAAATGGCCGGATTCCCCACACTTATAGCATTTCCTGCCGTCCATAGCTCGTGACGAATCCTCCTGCTGTCCCCCACTTCCCTCACTCATCTTGGCGTCCACAAGTACTACCACCGCAAATCATCACTTGCAATCTTCTTACGAAAATCCAGTCGACCGATCTCCCATTATCAAGATGTAATCGCCACCTTCTCCAGGTATGATCTCCTAGCAGGTTACGATCATAATTGCCGGCAAGCAAACAGATACTGCAAATCGCAGCAACAACACCACTCGAATGCACAACAGCATAGAGTCAAAAACTTTAAAATTGTTCGTTACATCACAGTTTCATGGATAGTCATGCAAAGTAGACTCTCAGAATGAAGAGACATGCTAACACGTGATTGTTAACAGGTCAACCCTGAAGCCCAAAGACGTCAACGAAGCACTATCTATCCCACAAACTGATGTTCACGATAAGGGCGCGTGCCTCCCGATCCTGAAACTGCGTACCGCCACAGTCGGCGGTCGTAGCTCAGTACTCAAGTGGTCGTGCCAGCAAGAAGACCTACTCCGAAGCGCACACTATGTATATACTACGCTGAATCGGCAACCCCTATGCTACGGACGAACGCATTACGCAACGTCAGGCCAAAGATGAATACTCTGACCGCCTACGATGCATGCCACATTCTCAAATGTCCAGGTTCGAGTCGTCAATCCCTATATTACAAGTCTGTATACCCGTCGGGCAAAAACAATCTCACAAACTATACAACATCAATGAATCCTATACTCGAAAGTGCCCAGGTACCGACACTCAAAACACTACTTAAAAAATTAATATGAGGGTCAGACCGGCACCAGGTCACTGCTGAACATATCAAATTCGAAGTTCGGGTCTTCATAATCACAAAATGTTTACGAGCTTACGGTACCAGGAAATTAATCCAGGTTAGCTATCCATAAAAGAGATGCACTCAAAACATATAGTTATCAAAAAAGTAAATGGATTCGACAAAAATAGACGTCCAAAAAATCTTTTTTTTTTTTTTTTTTAAACACAAATTACCATTATACAGGTCAATTACCTAACCCGATAATCAACAGTGTTGGCTTTAAAAAAAAATGACAACAACAAAATTCATCATCCCAACTCATTATATTACAACCTATTATAATACATTTAAAATGTGACAAACATGATTTTTGACCGATCAAAGAGTTTCCTCAATACTCTTAAAGGAATACAATTATTTCTCAAATTAAAGTTTATTATCTGTTATGAAATCAAGTCATCCTTTGGTATCAAGGTTCGCAAGAAAAGTAAGGACAACTCTCATTGAATTCGTGGAGTCTCATACACCCCTTTTTTCAACCTTTTGAAATAAATTTCCTCAAATGAGAGTCAGAAACTCAATTCCGCCCATGAGCCCCATCCATTTTTTAAATCTCGCATGCCCCATAGTCGGTTTCTTAATGATGCGATACGGTCCATCCATCGACTATCCAGTTTCATCGACCACTGCTTTAAGAGGAAAGAATCATACTGGAGGACAATGTCACCATTTTCGAATGGTTCCTTCCGGATTCAAGGTCGTTCATCCCATCTAATTTTGTCTGCCTGTTTGTTATTTGTAGTTGACGCAGAGGCCTCTTAAACCACCACTACACTCGTCGTCATAAATTAGGGGGGACCGGTAGCACAGGTCCATGAGGGCTACCGGTAGCACAGTGAGGCGAACTGGCGGAGTGGCAAAATTGAAAAATGCGTTGAATAGCCCCTGCGATTTATTTCGCTGTAAAAATGATTTTTATTTTTTTTAATACTTTTCCCATAAAGGTCGTGACAAAATCTACGAACCCATAAATGTTCAGAGTTGCTAAGTCAACCTTTTGAGCGTAAAAAATTGCGAAAGTTGAGGTAGTTTTCCCATAGGCCCACACGTGGTAGAGTGACAAAAATGAAAAATGAGACGAAACTGTGCGACATTTATTTCACGGTCTAAATTTTTTATTTTTATTTTTATTTTTTTAATATTTTAACTGTACCATTTGGCCAAAAAATTGGTCAGAGTGACATTTCCACATTCAACCGGCGTGTTAGCTTGGGGGTGTGCCCTCATAGTATAGTTGTAGTTCACCATAAGCTTCCTAATAACGGTGTTCCACATCGTTTGCTCGAAATTTTCGGTCGCGATCCATCACAAATCCCCGAAGATAAAACTCTTCAATACATTCGGCCAAAACCTTCCCGGTTTGCTCATGGATCGCACACCCATCGACGAAACCGGTCAGATTATCTCTTGCGTCGAAGATATATCTGTACCCATTAAGTTCGGGTGGCATAGTAACCGCCAAGTCAAGGTGTACAACTGCACCTGGCTCAACCACGTAACGAGGATTAAGTGACTCAGTGTACTAAAGATTTGAGCGTTTTTGGCAAGGGGGGCAAGAGTTACAAAAATCAACAACCATTTTGTCCATCTCGTTCCAAAAGTAGAGATGCTGAATCTTTTTCAGCGTAACACGTGCGGATCGATGTCCACCTACCATCCCATCGTGCAAGGTTGTAATCTCGTCGAGTTGTCTAGCGACCCCGCACACAACTCTCTTCGAGACACCGCCATGATCATCGGACTTCTTAAAGAGATGGTTGTGTCGAACGACAAAGTTTTTTCCTTTGAGCATATTTTTTATTCCACCTCGTTTTCTCGCATATCCCCGTTCAACCATATCCTATCTTTTTGTAAACTCCATCAGACTCTTCCTCACGGAATGCTTCCTTGACTTCGCTACCTTCCTCAAACGATACCCTTCGGTTGTCCTCCTGGATCAACGAATTAACAAGGAATGACATCCCGTTAAAGATTTTAAGAACTTCTTCGCCCTGCTCATACCCTCCTTCGATCGTGAGAGACTTTTCAATGAGTTAAACTGAGTCGGACAAGATCAAACTCAACAACTGCTCAACAGTGCTCTCGCCCCAAGTGTCTTCCTCGACGAAGGGCTCCCCTAGCATAAGCTTCGGACGCGCTTGATAAAAACTTTGTATGTTCCACATGGACTTCCCGGATCGAGATGAGACATCAACAACGTACTCCCAAGCATTGATACTTAGTTGTTACTCGTCTTTCTCTAAGAATCCATCCATAGGGACTGGGTCCTCAACTTGGTCATTGGAAGAATCCCACATGATTCTGCTCAGGCCGTCCACTCAGTTTTGGGTTTCAGAAATGAGCTCGATCTCAAAGTCAAACGTGAACCATCGAGTGACAGTTGGATTTGAAAGATAACAATTCTTCCGCGATTGAACCAAGGCAGTATGATCAACTCCCAGGATTAATCGCATTCCGAATAAGTAATTTCAAAAAACTTGAAGGCAATGACGCACTGCAAGAGTCTTTCTTGAAACTGGGAATGATTCCGCTCCGCTATATTCAACTTCCGATTTTCGAATCTCAACGACCGTTTTCGCCCTTCCTTATTTTTTTGGACAAGGACCCCACCCAAAGCCGTGAACCTTTCATCCGTCTCAATAATGAAGGGTCGATTCGGGTTATTGTTAATGTATAAAACCTACACGATCAACCTTCCTCAAAATTGTGCTTTAGCGTCGTCAACAACTGCCTTCTGCTTTGAGTCTCATTCCCATTATTGTCTTTTATGTACCACATTTAGCAGATGTTTCACCTTTGTGGCGAACTTGTGAATAAAGATATATCAGAATCCGCAAGTTTCAATAAAGGTTCGTACATCGGTGATGGACTAAAAAGGAGTCGGTCAGTCAAAAAATTTATTTGTCTTTTTGGTATTCGGTCAACGACCCCTATCACACAAGAATCCCAAATTGTTGCCTCACACCAGCGTTGTCACGCGGGGATCCCCGGGGCCCAAGCCGGGGTAGGGGTTTCAACCCCGGAACCCCGCCGCG